CTTTAATTTGGACTCAGAGCGGGGGAAAATAATGTCTCTTTTCCTTTTTAAATAAGTCTCATATGAGCTCTTTTTCTGATTTCTTCCTGAAACTTTACCTTCCTGATAATTCCTCCTAGTGTAAATCTCTGATCAACCCTAATCCTTTTGGAGTCCTTTTTTAGTGCCTGTAATTTGTATACTCATATGCCTTTCCTTGCAAACCTCCTCAAAAACCCTAACCCCTCAGTTTGTCTTTACTCATATTTCTTTTCACCATTAACTTAAACTTATTTTCAATTTGTTTTAGATTTGGAAATGGTACTTAAAGCAAAATGGTTAACTCCAAAGAAGCATATTTTTAGAAAAGAACATTCTAATGGTGTTAGAGCGGTAAGACCAACGTGGTAATTTCTGGTTTTTCTCAGTAGGAAAATTTCATAAGTTAGAAAAGCAACAAAATAATCAGGGAAGTCATTATAGGTAAATGTCATTAACATATGAAATAATGGTGTTTCAGGAGAGATAACTGTAAATCAGTTGTGAATTTAGAGAAAATTATAAATTAGCTCCGGACTTGTTTCTTTGCTGAGAATTCCCACAAGTAATTACTTCCTTAAATGTGACTGTCAAAATATAAAGTAGTCTTAAACTTACTAGAAAATGCTCTGTGAATATGATAAGGACTTGTGGCAATGCATCTGTCTGTGTTCTCTTAACTTGTAAAAACTCAGACTGGGCAGAAGCCATTTAATAAGCATTTAAAATAGATAACCACAACATCACTGATAATAATGTAACAGAGTTCCTGGGAGAGAAAATGTGTAAAACAGCCTTGAATATTTAAAAAATATTGTAAACTATAGTTTTCATTCATCTCTTGACAGGAGAGGAGTCATCTGGGAGTGAAACTCAATGAATGTAATCAGTGTTTTAAAGTCTTCAGCACAAAGTCTAACCTTACTCAGCACAAAAGGATTCATACTGGAGAGAAACCCTATGACTGTAGTCAGTGTGGAAAATCCTTCAGCAGTAGATCTTACCTTACCATTCATAAGAGAATACATAACGGGGAGAAACCCTATGAATGCAATGACTGTGGAAAAGCCTTCAATGACCCTTCCTCTCTTAGACTGCATGTGAGAATTCACACTGGAGAAAAACCCTATGAATGTAACCAGTGTTTTCATGTTTTCCGCACTAGTTGTAACCTCAAAAGCCACAAGAGAATTCATACGAGGGAGAATCACCATGAATGTAATCAGTGTGGCAAGGCCTTCAGCACGAGGTCCTCCCTTACTGGGCACAATAGTATTCATACAGGAGAGAAGCCTTATGAATGCAGTGACTGTGGGAAAACCTTTAGGAAGAGCTCATATCTGACACAGCATATGAGAACTCATACTGGAGAAAAACCCTATGAGTGTAATCAGTGCGGAAAGTCCTTCAGCAGTAGCTTTTCTCTTACCGTTCACAAGAGGATTCATACTGGTGAGAAACCCTATGAATGCAGCAACTGCGGGAAAGCGTTTAATAATCTCTCAGCTGTTAAGAAACATGTGAGAACTCACACTGGAGAAAAACCCTATGAATGTAATCATTGTGGAAAATCTTTCACTACTAATTCTTACCTTTCTGTGCACAAGAGAATACATAACAGGTGGATATGAATGCAGTAACTGATTTCTTATCTCTCAGACAACTTGTGACAACTCAAACTAGATGTATGAGTCAGCTGCTGCTGCATAACAAATTTCCCCTTGAAACATAGTGGCTTTAAACAGCAAACATATATTATCTATAGATCAGGAATTCAGAACCAGCTTAGATGTGTAGTTCTGGTCAGGATCTCATGAGGTTGTAATCAAGATGTCAGCAGGAGCTGCCATCCTCCACTTTATTGCTAAAGAGTCCACTTCCAAAATGGCCCACTGGCATACCTGGCACGTTAGTAGCTGGTTGTTGGCAAGGAACCTTCATTTACTCACCATGCTGGATTCTCTACAGGGTAAAAATCTTTATGATGTAGAAGCAGGGTCATCCCAAAGCAGTGGATTTAAAGAAGAGCTAATGCAGAAGCTACAGTGTCTTTTATAACCTCGTCCTGGAAGGACATATCATCACTTCTTCCATACTTTAAGGGTCACACAGATCACTCCTGATACATTGTGGGAAGAGACCATGCTCAATGTGAATACCAGGAAACAGAGATTGTTGGGAACCATCTGAGAAATCACTGAAAGAGAGCCTTCAGGAGACCCTCATTCTTTCAGTCTGTTCAGTATGAAGTAATTCGGTAACTCCTGTGTAAATTCACTCATGAAAGAAACATCATAAGTCCAAGCTTCATGATAAACTTTCAGCTCAAACTCACCCTAATGTTCACAAAAGGGTATGTATTGGGAATAAATCTGAGGAATACAGTTGTGATATCTAGGGAGTCATGTCACAGTTCACACTAAAGGGAAAATCCAATGAATGTCATCGGACTGTAAAAGCCTTTAGGGACACTTGTCCCTTGAAACGTCCTTTAGAACATGTGTGAGAAAGCACTACAGAGGAACACTCATGTAAGGAATGTGGAAAACCCTGTAGCACAAGCGTTTTTGTTAACAGAAGATGAAATTTCAAGTACCGAGTACTATGGGAAAGCCTTCAGGGTTCTCTCAGTTTTTAAGAGACATGAGGATTGATTCTGGAGAGGACAAACCACTGAATGGCATCAGTATTGGAAAGCCTTCCAGTTTCCCACATTCCTTAAACTTGTGAGTATAAAGAAGGAGGGAATGCCTTTAATGATACCTCTTACATCCTAAAGTATGGAATTCCTGGATGCAAAAACCTGTGAGTGGATTAATTTTGGAAAGTCCTTCGATGACTTCCGTCTTCGCTGAGTTGTGAGAAGTCACCTGGGAGGGGCAGGAGGGAGCCCGAGAAAGTACTCAGCATGAGATTGCCTTAGCTCTCCTCTGAGTGGCTGTGGAACACTTTAAACTGGGGATGGAAAGTGTAGATGTTATGAGTGTGGGATTACCTTTCAGTGTCTCGTCCTTAGGTTGGGGCAACTGGTTCTTTAATTTTCAGTCTTTTTGCTTAAGTAGCAACATTTGAGTCTGCAGCTGTGCCCTAAAATAAACCTTAAGTTATGTTCTGTAGTTTTGTATGTAATACATTTATCATCATTGACTCTAAAACTGTTAATACACTGCATATTCATAACGGTATTTCTGACTATTTCCTGAGTGAGTTAGTTTATCCTAGTAAAAGCTAGGATAATTGCTAAACACCTTTTAGCAATTGCTAAATAGCTGAATTGCTATATACTTTTTTCTAATTTAATGGCATTTTTATTAAATGGATTTTATGATACTGATTCTTTTTTATCTTTCTATTCTAGTATGGCAGTTATTTTTAGCCTCTTTATCAATGTCCATTTTCCCCTCTGTTTTCTTAAAAGAAGAAGATTTTTTTCTTTAAACTTTTTTTCAAGTTGTTGATGAGTGGTATTGAAAATAGTCAATCCACAGGGCATCCCCAAAGCCCAGGGAGGTGTTCTTCTGCTCTGCTGGCCATGGGAAGTAGGTGCGAGTCATGGAGGGAAGCGAGGGGGCACATCATCGTCTGGCTTGTCTGCCTCACCCATATCCTGTTCATCTTACCCATTCATTCTTGCGAAGGTGGAGTCAAGCTGTAGAGTTGGAAGAACTATATTTTGATCATGATGACAGTGACCACAGTGTGGCAAAAATCACAATGAGTGGGCTCTCTAAGAGGCTCTGGTTGTCTCTATCACCTTCAGGCTGCTTATTCCTAGACTTCTTACATGATTTAGAAGTACCTTAGTGGTTGAAACTCAAGTGATTTTTTGTTTGTTTTTGAGGTGATTTGTTAATGTCCTGCTGAGTAATATTATTAGTTGGTCATTTTATAAATGCTCCAAGATTATTTGAAAACTCTGTGTGTGTGTGTGTGTGTGTGTGTGTGCGCGCGCGCGCGCTCAGTCGTGTCCAACTCTTTTTGCGACCCCATGGACTGTAGACCTCCAGGTTCCTATGTCCCTGGGATTTCCCAGGTAAGAATACTGGAGTGGGTTGCTCTTCCCTTCTCCAAGGGATCTTCCCGACCCAGGTATCAAAGTGGAGTCTTCTGTGTCTCCTGCCTTGCCAAGTGGATTCTTCATCAGTGAGCCACCTGTGTATTCTCTAATTTTCAGATATAGAGTGTATTCTCATTAACTCAAGCTAAACGTGTTTTCAGATATATTAATCTATGTACCTGCAGGTTTTTCCCCTCTCTCAAACATAATTACCAATAGATGTGAATTACAGTTCTCTACCATGGTTGTGGATTAACAAATTCTTTTTGGTAATTCTGTCATTTCTTTCTTTATGTATTTTAATGTAATGTAAATAAAGTACATGCATTTCTGAGGTGGTTGATCAGAAACTGAAGGGGAACTGAAGAGCCTTTTGATGAGGGTGAAAGAGATGAGTGAAAAAGCCAGTTTAAAACTCAGCGTTAAAAAAACTAAGATCATGACCTCCAATTTCATCACTTCATGGCAAATAGAGGGGAAAAAGTGGAAACAGTGGCAGATCTTACTGGGCTCCAAAGCCACTGTGGATGGTGACTGCAGCCATGAAATTAAAAGATGTTTGCCTCTTGGAAGAAAAGCTATGACAAACATAGCATATTAAAAAGAGACGTGGCTCTGAAAAAAAAAAGATCCATATAGTCAAAGCTATGATTTTTCCAGTAGCCATGTAAGGATGTGAGAGTTGGACTGGAAAGAAGACTGAGTGCCAAAGAATTGATGCTTTTGAATTATGGTGCTGGAGAAGTCTCTTGAGAGTCCCTTGGACAGCAAGGAGATCCAACCAGTCAATCCTAAAGGAAGCCAACCCTGAATATTCATTAGAAGGATTGACACTGAAGCTCCCATACTTTGGTCACCTGATGCAAAGAGCAGACTCACTGGAGAAGACCCTGATGCTAGGGGAAAATTGAAGGCAAAAAGAGAAGGGAGGTGCAGAGGATGAAATGGATGGCATCATAGACTCAATGGACCCCTGAATTTGAACAAACTCCAGAAGATGGTGAAAGACAGTGAAGCCTGGTGTGCTGCAGTCCCTGGGGTCCCAAAGAGTCAGACATAGCAACTGAACAACAGAAAAACAAAAACTAAAGCATTGAGAGGAAATAAAATTCCTGATTAAATAGAGAATACCATCTTTATCCATGATTAAAACATTTTAATGAGCTCATTTTCTTTAAGACAAATATGTCTTAAAGTATGATATAGATAGAAACATAGTATAATTTTTAGAAATTAGAGATGCTGATTCTCAAATTCACAAGGAAAGGAATTTATTCAAAGAGAAATAACTTTTATTGGGGGATAAAATGAGAGAGGATGTGGGGAAAAGTAACATACCAAAATATTTCTCTGAAGTTTGTTATTGGAGGAAAAAACTGAACAAACTGAATATTAATGTAGAGACTCCAGAAAAAGCCCATGTTTATTTGGAAACTCAGGAGTTAAGATTAAGTTTCTATTTTAAGTAAATTGCAAAATTATGATTTGAATGAAGAAAATATACTACCAGTAATTTTAAAGATTTTAATTTTTTAATTGAAGGATAATTGCTTTACAGAATTTTGTTGTTTTCTGTCAAACATCAACATGAATCCGCCATAGCTACCAGTATTTTTCATTGGCTACTTTCTGCATTCAGAAAAAATATTATTTTCAATAAAAATCTCTGAAAGAATTGCATTAATGTGTGAAAAGCATGTATACCTTCAGTATTTTCTCCTAATAGGAATCTTTCCTCTTGTCAGACATAATCAAGGGTGGTCTGAAATGTTTTTACAGATAAAATGAACTTTCTGGATACAGGAGTGGAGGAAACAAGAAGGATGTACTTATTGTATACTTAATGATGGAGGACCCAGCTAGATTCAGTAGCAGGAGCTTTGAGGAGCCATTAATCTGAGATAGAACATTTATCCATAACTCTAAATAACTGAGACTTTTAAAAAGAGAAAAAAGATCCTCTGCGAAATAGAAGTAAAGCAATTCTGATGCTATTATTGGAATGAATAAGAAATATCTATCTGGTATACTGTTAAAAAGCCAAGTAATAGCAACTTACTATGAGATAAACCTGAATGCAGATTTCTCTTAGAATCTATTTGATACTTTAAACCTTTCAGAGAGTTCTCAAGTCTTAGGAGGGTAATATAGCACTTTGGGGCAAAGATATAGCCTAGGAGCCCAGCACTGGAGGCTAAGATGGAGACGATCTCCACGGCCACCATGACCTTGCCCTTGGTGCTGTGGCAGATGGGGAGGAAGGTGACCCAGACACTGAGGAGCACCAGCATGCTGAAGGTCAGGAAATTGGCTTCACTGAAGGTGTCAGGCAGGTTCCTGGCCAGGAAAGCCAAGGAGAAGGTCCCCAGGGCTAAGGAGCCCAGGTGGCCCAGGACACAGTAGAAGGCAGTGACCAAGCCCTTGTTCCACATGATGAGGAGCTCCTTGGCTCAGAGTGTGTCCATCTCAAGGAAAGGGGGAGAAGTTTCCAGCCAGACTCCACAGATAATCACCTGGATCATGGAGCACATGGGAAAGACATAGCAGCTTCTGTTACCAGCAGTCACCTCATGGTTCTTCCTGGTTTCCCGGCCTTGAATGCCAGGATCACAGCCAGGGTTTTGGCTAAAACAGTGAACACAGCTCCAAATGTGATCTGTTGGAGGACGCAGGTGGCTGTGTGGGGATGATTGATGAAGAGTAAGGAGCAGAGGACGCACAGGAGGAGGGAGATGAGCAGGACATGGCTGAGAGCCCGGTTATTGGCCTTGACTAGGGGGGTGTCTCGGTGCTTCACAAAGACCCACAAAACCGCAGCTGTGAGGACATAGAAGCAAAGAGCTGTGCAGGCCAGTGACATCCCCAGAGACTCCTCTAAGGCCACAAAGGTCGGGACTCTGGGGAGGCAGCGATTTCTCTTCCTGATTGGGTACTTCTGGTCTGGACACTGGACACAATGCTGTGCACCTGGGGAGAAAGATGTGGCATTTCATTTTCACGATTCATTTTTATCAATTTGAATATTGTCACCATTTCTGTGATGTGTGTATTCATCCCCTCTGATGTTACCTTCAAACAAACCAAGTTAAGACTCTATACCAAGGGAAAATGCTTTCAGGAAAAAAGTCATTTATTAATGAATCTTCTAACATGGTGGAAATGGGTGTGCTCATTTGTGGTTCAGTTAACAAAGGCATTGATTCTTCCTAACTCTTTTCTACTCTCCCCAGTACATGAGTAAAGTCATAAATTTAGAAATGGTAAGTTTGGCTTTATCCAAATTAAAGTCTTTGATGTATCAAGGTAAGTGTCAAGAAAGTGAAGGCACAGTGGAACGAAAGGGAGAAAATATTTGTACATCTACATTTGTTAGGGAATTAATATCTGGAATCAGTCCAGTACTCCTACAAACCCACACAACAAAAATACAACTCAATTAAACTGTGAACAAAGGACGTGTGTGGACATGTCTCCAAAGAAGATATACAAATGGGTATTAAATACATGAAATTATGCTCAAAACTGATATGTGTTACAAAATGCAAACTAAATCATGAGATAACCACTTTAAACCCCCAGGATAGCTATTCTTTTACAAAATAATAGTTGAAATAACAAATGTCACTAAGGATGTTAAATAATTGGAATCTTCGTGCATTACTGGAAGGAGTATAAAATGGTATAGCTGAAGTGAAAAGCAGCATGTCAGTTTCTCAAAAAATTACACATAACATTACCATAAGACCTGGAGAAGGAAATGGCAACCCACTCCAGTATTCTTGCCTGGAGAATCCCATGGACGGAGGAGCCTGGTGGGCTACAGTCCACGGAGTTGCAAAGAGTCGGATATGACTGAGGGACTTCACTTTCACTTTCAACCCTCAGCTGAGACTTTCAGCTCTTGTGTTTGCTATTGATTGTTTTCTTGAGTTCTCAAAGACCTGTGACCATAATTTTTTTAAGTTGCCTGTTTTCTAATTGCATCACTTTACACACTGTTGTCTAATAATATGTGGTATTTAGAATGCCTTCTTAATTATTTTGAGCAGCCATTGCCTGTATTTTCTTAGCACCTCCTTGGTTTTCTTACGTGAACTCATCTGACAGGGAAATGCAGCTTTTTTGTTTGCCCTCTCTGCATACTGGACCGTCTGAGTCAGTGTTCTAACTAATCCCTGATGGTCTCTGAGCTACTGTTCTACCAGACTCAGTAGTTATGTGCTTCAGGAATTTTTCGGTAGAATTGGTCCTATTAGGAGACTCTTGGTGTCACCTTTGTTATCTTAAAAGCTGGTCCCTTCGCTGAGGCTCTTAATTTTTTGAAAACTTGATTCTATTTCAGCTGAAAATTGGCAAGGCTATTTAAAAAATTGATGGAAGCCATTTAAGAAATTGAAAAGTAATCGCAAACAACATTGGGTAGTTGTGACTTTCAGTTCTGTATCAGTTGAATTTTTGTGCTCTTTTCCCTGTGTACGTGGTGGTTCTATTTTTCTCCAATAAAACTTTTTATTTAAAAAAAATTTGTGGAGAAGATCTTTAACATTCAGATATTCTAAGAATGTTATAAAACCACAGAACTTAAAATCTTCTTCCTAATGATTAATGAAAAAAAAAAGAAAAACATTACCATAAGAATAAGATATCCCCCTTCTAAATATTGCTATATTCCCAAAAGATACAAAGGCAGTGCCTTAAGTAGATATTTGTACACTATTCTTAGCAGTGTTATGATGACCTAAAGGAGGGAAGCAGCCCAAGTGTCCACTGAAGGACAAATGAAACAATAAAAGGTGGTATCTATATGCAATGAACACTATCCAATGTTTAAAAATGGTGAAATTGTCTAACACATGCTGCAAAGTGGATGAATCTTGAAGATATCATGGGAAGTGAAATAAGTCAGACCCCAGAGGACAAGCAATGTGTGCTTCTACTCACACGAGGTGCTGAGGAATAAACAAGTTCATAGACAAAGGCGGTGGAAGGATGTTCACAAGGGACTTCCAGGAAGCAGTAAAAGGGAGCTACTTTTTAATGTCTATAGAGTTTAATAATGATAAATTTATGTACATGGATAGTGGAAATGACTGCACAACCATTGAAATGTACTTAATAGCACTGACTTCTACACATAAGACTGATTAAAATGGTAAAATTTATATATATTTACCACAATAAAATGTGCAGATCCAATAATGAATAAATGCATGAATTGAGAAGCTGGTGCACAATGACTGCCTATGCCCTTAGTCTCCTTTTTAAGGAGAAAGGGGAAAGTGACAAAGCTATCATTGGGTGATTAAATTTTTATACCTGAGTGGTTGGAAATGTGTCTCTCAGACAAAAAGCACAAGTAAAGCAGCACATTGGCCTTCCTTGTAGAATTTTTTCTGAATCCTGAGCTGTAGCTCTGGCTACACACACACTGGAATATTATTCTTTCATAATAAAGAATGAAATCTTACCATTTGTGGCAACATGGGGACCTAGGAGGTATTATGCTGAATGTCATAACTCAGAAAAAGATGACAAGTGCATGATTTCGCATGTATGTTTAACAAATGAATAAATGACCATCAAAACAAAAAATATCAGACTCACAGATACAGGAAACAAAAATGTGGTTGCCAGAGGGGAAGAAGCTGGGGGGAAAACAAACAGGTGGGGAACTTCCAGTTGCAAAATAAATGTCATGGGTATGCGATGTACAGTCTGAGGAATATAGACAACAGCTCTGTAATATCTTTGTATGGTGATATATCCAAACTATAGTGGTGACCATTTTCAAATGTATAGAAAATCATGGTGTTATGTAACAAGAACTAAAAAAGGGGAAGTAGCATAGTATGATAAGCCAAATATTAAAAAACAAACTCATAAGAGAGTTCAGATTTGTGGTTACCAGCAGTAGGTTGAGGGGTGCAATTGGATGAAAACTGTTAAAAGATACAAAGTTTCAGTTATAAGAAAACTAAGTCCTAGGGATGTACTGTACAACACAACAAAAAATTAACACTGTTATACATGAAAGTTGTTAAAAGAGTAAATCCTAAATGTTTTCATCACAAGGAAAAAAATTCTTTTACTTTAATTATGTATCTACATGAGATGATGGATATTCACTAACCTTATGGAGGTAACTATTTCATGATGTATATAACTCAAATCATTATGCTGTACCCCTTAAATATGGTGCTGTGTGCCATTTCTATCTTAATAAAACTGGAAGAAGAAATAGTGATCTGCTCCTGCTAGACATTGGCTCAGAACACCTGTAGGCTACATAGTATGAAATCAAGATTTTGCAATCAAAGGATGAGTTTAGTGCTGACTTAATGGGTACACACATAATCTCGTATGAGGACTCTCTGATAGTTTTACAATGTGTACATCTCATCTTGAAAAGATCTCATACCTCTTTAAATCCAATAGGCCATTCTATCATCTCTTCCTTGATCACCAAGCCTTGATCATATAGACTATTGGAGCCAAACTCTCCCACTTTAATCAGGAACCCAAGACCACCTGGAAAACTCACAGCATTCAGGATATCATACTGTACCACATGACTTCTTATCCAAGGACATGTGCTCCACAGCACTGTTTCTAAATTGAATTTTATACAGGAATGGGTGAAGCTAGAGGAGAAGAAAGATTGGGAAATGGCAAGTGTATTCAAATTAGAGATGGAAGGGCTATACTTACAAAGCAAGCACTTCCCCACCTCCCGAAACTCAAGCTTTCTTGTTGGTAGAAGCTGAGTTTTGTTTGGGTGTTTATTATCTCTTTGACTCTAGTGATGTGCTTTTCCTCTCATCCTGAAAACAAGGAGAGAAGGAATTGAATACAGTCTAGACATTGTTCAAAGCCTTTCCTTTGTTATAAGTTTTGGTAAACCTGACCCACAAAGTTTGCTTGTGGCTTCTGGAAGGAAATGCCTGTATTCTCAAAAAGGTACAACATGGAATTTTTTTCTCATCCTGCAGTTGGATTTTTTTTAATCAAGAATATGACTGTCTGACTGGATTCCATGGTGGCTCAGACGGTAAAGAATCTGTATACAATACAGGAGGCCAGGGCTCGATCCCTGGGTAAGGAAGATCCCCTGGAGAAGGGAATGGCAACCCACTTCAGTATTCTTGCCTGGAGAATCCTATGGACAGAAGAGCCTGGCGGGCTATAGTCCATAGGGTTGCAAAGAGTGGGATATGACTCAGCGACTAACACACACAACACATGGGACCTGGCTAGATAAGAGGCTGAATTCTAAACTAATTGGGCAGGTTGCCATTCAAAATGCAGTCCAGTTCTGAAAGTAGTGTTTGTTATCTTTGATGCTTTTGAACTGTGGTGTTGGAGAAGACTTTGAGAGTTCCTTGGACTGCAAGGAGATTAAACCACTCAATCCTAAAGGAAATCAGTCCTGAATATTCATTGGAAGGACTGATGCGGAAGCTGAAACTCCAATACTTTGGCCACCTGGTGTGAAGAACTGACTCATTGGAAAAGACCCTGATGCTGGGAAAGATTGAAGGCAGGAGGAGAAGGGGATGACAGAGGATGAGATGGTTGCATGGCATCACTGACCTGATGGACATGAGTTTCAACAAGCTCCAGGAAAGAGTGAAGGACAGGGAAGCCTAGTGTGCTGCAGTCCATGGGGTTGCAGAGTCAGACACGACTGAGTGACTGAACTGACTGAACTGATGACTGTCTGATGACAATAAGGTGAAACATGCTCACTATGGGAGAAAATTAAAATCTACAATTCATACAGCATTAATGGAATTGTTGATTTAGGCTTTGAACCACAGGAGCCTTTGTCACTTTGTTGTGGGAAATAGTGAACGCTTTAATTTTTGAGATACAATTCACATAACATAGGACTCACCATTTCAAAGGGGACAATTCAGTGGGTTTTAGGACATACGGAATGTTGTGCAATCACCAGCACTCTCTAATGCCAGAATATTTTCATCATCACAA